GCCAACGCCGGAGTTCGACTTGTCGATGCGTTGGCAGTCATCATCGGAACAGCTTGATTTCCGCCATTCGCCATTTTTACTGTAAAAATGACACATTCAAATGTTTAATAAACGTTTAAAACTGCNATGGATGCTTTGTTTGTAGTTAAAAAACAATGCAGAATAAGGAGGACAACTCAGAAGTCGAATGAAAATTCTTAGAGGAAGGAATGCAAAGTATAGTCAATGTTGAATTCTTACTGAAGAGAATATCAGATTGCAATTCGTTTTACCAGTGTATACGCAGTGTATACAGAGTGTATATCAAGTATATACAGAGTGTATATTAAGTGTATACAGAGTGTTTCAAGTGTTTTTTCCGATGTGTTCTTCTTTCTCTCCAACTTATGTTCTATTTATAGCAGTTATTTGAGAGAAATCCGCCCCTTCGATGGTGCAACAAGCACTAGATCATGGAGAAAGCACTTACATGGTGGTATATACACTTGCTTGGTGGGAGGAGCACTTGCACCATTGTGGGAGGTGCACTAGGCTGATTATTGCTTAGTGTTGCAACACAATACACGGATTGGAAAACATCCGTTACAAACACGGATTATATCACGTTAATATTCACTATTAACAAATAAATTTGGTCCAAAAAATTAATCAATCGATCGATCATTTGACCAAATCCGAATCCAAATCCCATTTCCCATTCACTCTAATTTTAAGACTATTTCATCTTAAACAAAAACTCAACAAGGACGTGGTCAACGAGTCGTTGCATTTAGTTGCGATAACTAATTTGGTAATGGCAACAATATGAGAGCAGAATCTACCCAAACAAATTTACTATTTCTCAAATGCAAATATGCAATGGAAACAGAGAGAGAGAGAGAGGAGAAAAGGGTCAGAGTCAGATGCAGTCGGTTTATTTTCTCTGTCGGATACAGTAAACGACTATCGCTTTCAAAGTCCTATGCCTACTGACTCCGGGTGTACCTTTTTATTTATTTATTCCTCAAAAAAGATACACAAATGTGTGTAAATTTTTTTTTAAATTGCAAATGCACTCCCTAGATTAACCTAGAATGACAAAAGGTTCCCTTCTTTCTTTCAACTACAGAGGGAAAGTGGACACCTATTTAAAAGAATAATCCACGTTTATAAATATTTTAAAGTTTAACCGCCTCAGAATTAACTATATGAACTTTAAACTCGACAGTTTAAAGTTGACGTGAAGGTTTTAAGGAGAAAAAAAAAAAGTTTAATGATTTGACGTTTGTCAAAATTGAATAAACATTAAATATTGAAACTCCATATTGACCAAAGCTTTGAAGAAAAAGAAGAGAAGCATTAGCGATATGAAATTTGTCAAATTGAGTAATCTTTACTGAATAGTATGATTTAACTATAGGAGCTCAAACCTACTACATGGTGTTGCTCAAAACGACTACATGGTGTTATTTCTACTAAACTACACTATCACAATCCGGAAAATAGTCGGCTCATTTGACCATCTAAGCTCCTCTAGATTATAAGTCGAATCAGAGTACAATTTTTGAGACCATTAGGCATGTAACTTTTTCTAGTTATCGCTTTAACTGTATGGAAAAAGAATTATATGTTGAGAATATGTTGAAATTGATTGGAAGTATGTTTAATATAAAAGATTCTTGTTTGTGATTTTCCCTAAGTAATGACGAATGACCACAAATAACGATAAAGGTTGGTAATATAACAAAGTTATCCTTTTTAATTTGTTGAATATTAGCGAAATATTTTCATATCAATGGAGATGCTACAAGCTCAACAAGATAATGATATTGTATAGTCGCTTTCAAATAATAACTAATAAATATACATACAATATCTTTGCCCAGCATCAATTGGATTGTGACCCACCCAACACAGTAAAATGAGAATTTACGAAAATCTTTTTAACCAATTTTTTAATTGTCTTTAAGCAAGATAATGATCATATTAGCTGTGGGATCTCTCATGCCTAAACCACCTAACGTTTTCTGTTTCTTCCTCTAGAGAAGGTTCGACCCAACAAGTGATCACAATACACATTGCATCATCGAAAAGCGAATGAGACCAACTTTTGTCTGAGATATCATACAATCATTTCACCACTCGATTGGATTTGCTAGAACTTCTTGCTTCATCACTTGAGGTTGCCAGTTTTCAACCTTTAGACATAGGAATGCAGCGTGATTGACCCATCGCCAGTGTTCCCTCGGTAAACTTCCAATTGTTACAAAGGGGTCCTTGTCCACTTAGTTGTCAAACAAGGTCTTAGCAATTAGCACAAGGTGTTTAATCTAGCATTTCCATTGAACAGCTGCAGTAGTGGTACAGCTAACAGCCTACCACAAATAGCAAGTCACTCTGATTCCTACTATGTTAGTCGTCGGTGCAAGTCCGATATGGATGTACCTTGGTACTACCAGTGCATTACAGAACAATGGTATAAAGTGATACAGATTCCTAATGGTACAAGACTTGAGCAGAGCAAGTCCACTTGGAAAAACATCTTTGCTTGATGCTAGTCAAATAAATACAGAACGGCAAGAAATCATCTTAAGGACATTTTCTTTGAACGTAAGATGCCCCATGCTCTTCGTACCTGTCATCAGCATAATGAAAAGGTGTACTCATTAAAAACCACTGTAATTATGCGGCGTAGGAACAGCTGTTTTAAAGGAAACAAAAACTAGGAGTACTGTTGCTTGTCAAAACTGAAAAGTAGCATTGGTTTCAAAGAANAGCTGTTTTAAAGGAAACAAAAATTAGGAGTACTGTTGCTTGTCAAAACTGAAAAGTAGCATTGGTTTCAAAGAAACATGCAGAACTTACTCGGACTTTGAAAACCACATTTGTTGAAAGGAACCAAGAGATGCCAATATGCTGCCCCCTATCCAAACACTGCACAACGCCTTTGTTAGATCAGAACTGTGTGAAGAAAGCCTCCAATTGCTAAGTGCAAACCATTATTTATGGAACAACAGATATATGCTCTTCAAACTAGCATTTCAAGATTTTACTAAAAGCAGTAACAAAAAGAGTATGTTTACGTTTTCTCAAATCTGCACTTATACGGTAAGGGAAAGGGGAAAAAGGATATGCCAATAGTACTTGAAATTTTACTAGGCAAAATGCTTCAGTTATATGCTGTCAGCTTTAAACTTAGAAATAGCAAATATCGGGAGAAATCCAAACGAATCCGTGAATGTTGCATCCAGACGAGAAAAGTCCAGAAAACACACTAGACAGTTGAAAGCTTCAACCTTTACTTTATACACTCAACACCTAAAGGAACTATTACCATGAAGAGAGGCTGAGAAAGACGAAATGAGAACTACAGAGTAATAGTTTAACCTGAATCTCCTTTCTGTAGCATTTCCACTAGCCAGTACTTTGACTCTCGCTGCTTGAGGAGACTCCTGGAAAAAAGCGAAGACAGATATGAAATTAGGTATTCAAGCTAAGGAGATAAGATAAGACTGCTATCCTTGAATTTGAACAAGTGCATAAAAGGTGAGAGGGGCATAGTTAGAGTTAAATGGGAAATGGCACCTCTAGCAAGTCCTTTTCCAGACGTTCTTTGAGTTGCTGCATCGATGCTGTTCCCCCAGCAAGCTGTATTAAGCAGTGAATCAAACTAAAATCTCATCCAAAGTTTCATATTCAAACAGGCAAAATACAAGCAGTCTTCGGAAATCCATATGCTTGTGGTACGTAGGTGTGGGACTTAATCCAATGATAAATTTGAAAAGCACTGGCTCTAATCTGCCATTGAATTTTCATATTGTTCTTTATATACTAATTTTTATCTACAAAGTCATAAAGAACATCATCCAGTTAGAAAAATTATAATTACTTTGTCATGCAATTTCTATTTTTTTCTCCAGAAGGAAAGCGTCCTCTCAGTTTCAGTGCTTACAATGTGAAAATGGGAATTTAAAAGAATTGA